CCATAGCTCATCTCTGGATTTACGGGCTAATGGATTTCTTATTATAAAAAGTAGCTCCCTCAAGGGTCATATGTATGTTACTCATGGGTTTGTTTTGGGGGCTTTTTTTCCCAAGTGTTTCTCCTGAGATGGGTTTGCTCTGCTGCCCAGACATTCTTCTAATTCTAGACAATGAGCTTGCTTCAACCTCCTAAAACTAAAAGGACAATATACCATGCCGGGAAATACATGTACATTTCTTTTTTAAAAATACGATCTTGCTGTGAAGCCAAGGTTGACCATGGAATTTCTATGTCACCCAGGCTAATCTCAAAGTCACAATCTCCCTGATTTAGTCTCTTGAATGTAGAGAGTATAGGTATGGACACACAGTATACCAAGGTACACATATAAGTCATAAAAGCAGTTAAGCCACTCTAAATCCTCCTAATGGTATTTTGAAACTGAAATAATATAAGCTGCTAAATATTGACTTTAAGATCACACAAAACATCTAATCTCAATGAGATCTAATTTGGAATCTCAATCCCACTTACAGGCATCTTTAGGATTATCTATAGCAGCTTTCATTAGCATATATTAATTATAAAAATCAACAGGCTTCATCACAACACTTCCATACATGTATATGATGTAGACTGGCCAGAACCACAGCCCATTACTTTCTTCTGTCCCCTCCCCAGCTCCCATCCTCTTCCCAACCAGTATTCCTCCTACTTTCAGATCTTTTTAAAAGCCTATTCCTTGTGACCCGCTGAGTTTAGCAAGGGTCTTGGACAGGAGCATGTGTGAGAGGCTATTTACCACATGACGGGTAGCTGATCTGGGGCTGTTCCACTGAAAGAAACCTACTACTGATCATCAAAGAGCAAGCCTGGACACAGAGGGTGGGAACAGCCTCACCCTTAGCTTTCTCTGGGTCATGGCTGTCTCCAGGGCCATTTCCCTTAGCGGATCTCTAGAGATGTCAAGCATGGAAGCTTTGACTGTGTCCCCTGGGTACAGGCTTAGCCGCGACTGTCGGAGAGCCATCCTGGCTTGCAGCTGCATCATTTCTTCCTCTTGTCGCTTTAGCATCATCTCCTGATTGATCAAGTTGCCTTCAAGGGATGTCTCATATTGTCTAGTTTAGAGAAAAGAGAAATAGAAAAATAAAGTCTGGCAAAAAAGAAAAAACAGCTGTTTCAAGGCTATAATGTAGGAAATTCCATGGCAAGTAAGGTATCAGGAACGTAAACATTCCCTTATTATTTCTGAAGACACATTTATTTTTATTTATGTGTACATGTGTGTGGGGGCCAAGAGTACTAGATCTCCTGAACTGGATTCCCAGGTGGTTATGAACTGCCTAATGCAGATCCTCGGAACTGAATCTGAGCCAGTATTATACAGTATGGCATGGTAAGAGAAATAAAATATAAAATCTTTTATAAATTATATATCCATTTATATAATAGATGTTATATTATACACGTTTGATAAAATGATAGTAATGTTTTGTAATTTCCAGAGAGAAAAGAGTGATCAGGGAATCATTGTTCTGATATTTGGTCTTTGAATCTGGTTCCTGTCACATCTCCAAGGAAAGGAAAGGAGGGGAGGGGAGGGGGGGGGGGGGGGGGAGGGGAAGGGAGGGGAAGAAGGAGAAGGAGGAGAAGGAGAAGGAGAAGGAGAAGGAGAAGGAGAAGGAGAAGGAGGAGAAGGAGAAGGAGAAGGAGAAGGGACAAAATTCCAGACGTGCAGACCGCCTATGGACTGACACTTCCATAAACACCCCTAGTCCCTCCTGAGGAGCATATCAGAGTCCTCAGAAGAAATGCCTTTCCTGTAGTTCTCTCAGTCAGGGGCTGTTTTCTTCCTATAGACCTATGCCTTGAATTTTGCTTAGTTCCTGTATTCTCATCTGTGTGAGTACACGTGGACGTGTGGGTGAAGGTCAAATGTCAGCCTCAGGAATTGTTCCTTAGGAGCTGTGCATCTTGTTTTTTGAGACATAGACTCTGGACAGAACCCAGGCTTGGCTGATAAATCAGCCAAGCCTGGCTGACCAGTGAGCCTGGATCTACCTATCTCTGCTCCTCAGAGATCCAAGCATGTGCCACACTTGGCTTTTGTCAGGGATCCTTGGGACAGAACTCGGGTCCCTGAGCCTGCACTGCAGACACTTTGCTCTTGAACTGTCTCCTGAACTCCTATGCTTAGTTCTTATTTCAGCCTTCAGACCTCCGCCTCCTTTCCAAACAGCCAGCTCCCTGTAAGCACAAGATGGGAAGCTAGTGTTCTAGGTGTTTTCGTTCCATTGTTCACTCCCTTCATTCATTAGAGACGTCAGTCTGGCTCAGGTTTTTTTCCCATCACAACTCAAATGGTTATGGTATGTGGATATGGGGACTCTTCTAACCTCTGACCCCCTCTCTTCTTCAGCAGGTGACCATGTGGCTTCAGAAGTCATGGCTTCTGTTCTTCCATATTCTCTATAGTCTTATTTTGTTTACTGTGCTCCAAACTCCCCAGTTAGATAAGTCATTGACTTCTCAAGTCACTGCTCAAGGCACTGACATTCCTCTCATTATTCTTCTCGTGTCCTACCTTGTGTGGAATCTCCACAATCACTCTTAGCGTATGACCTCATCAGCCATCAAATTACAGAGTCAGTCTCCCTGGCCTCCCTGAGCCCTACCTCAGCACTGACTCTCTTGTCTTTTAAAACTCCAACACTCTCTCGTCTGAATAGGTGACATTTTCTTACTCTTCTCACTAAAACAACAAGCAATGCAAGTGCCCTACTTGGATATTAACATACACTTTTGGTTCAATGTTTCCAAACCAAAGCCATTTTACTTTCTTCCTATGTCTAGCCTGCTTGCAATAATTTCCCGGTTGCTAAGGACACAACCTTAAGAGTCATTCTTATTTCCCCTTCCTTATAAACTACCAATCTCATTATGCATTGAATCCTGAAGGCACAGCCCGTAGGAGCCACATCTGGCTTTCCTCCAGCATCTGTCTGCACCATTTGCATTACCGACTTTCTGACTGCCATTCTGCTCTTCCCATCATGCAACAGGACACTGTAATGTTGGCTTACCCTAACATGTAGAGTCCTTACCTTAGCATCTGTGACACACTCACTCACTGGGGCCCTGATTTCTTGGCCATTGTCCCTAGTGTACAACATCCTTTCTTCATTTTCTTGCGGGCATACTGCTTTTTCACTATTACAGGGAAGATGACATGTCTCCCTTCAATAGTTAAGATTGTTATTGCTGCGATGGAACACCATGACCAAAAGCCAGGGGGTAACAGTCTATCACTGAAGGAAGTCAGGACAGGGACTCAAACAAGGCAGCAACCTGGAGGCCGGAGCGGATGCAAATGCCATGTGGAGTGCTGCTTACTGGCTTGCTCCCCATGGCTTGCTTACTTATAGAACCCAAGGACCACTCGCCCAAGGATGACATCACCCACAACAGGCTGGGCCTTTTTCCACCAATCACTAAATAAGAAAATGTCCTACAGGCTTGCCTCTAGCCCAGTCTTAAGGAGGCATTTTCTTAACTGAGGTTCCCTCTTTTCAGACTTTGGCTTGTGCCAAGCTGACATAAAACTACCCAGCACTCTCCCCTACTTCAGCACCTCTGTACCTGACCACCCCTCCCTCTCCTTCACTTGACTTTTATACTCAGTGTCATCCCTTGAGGGACACCTGCTCTGATCACACTAGCACATAAAGCAGGATTCAGAAACCACTTTCTGACAAGCCTGCTGCTCTGCAGAGTGCTGCTTCCTACTTCTCACTGACAGCTAGTTCTCATTTCTAGTAATCTCTAGAGTGAGCTATATTTGTGTGCAGTTCGCAGCTCTGCTTCTGATACCTGAAAGTATTTGCTCTGTGGTGGGTGCTCTGCAGCTGCTGAGTGAGTGAGTGAGTGAGTGAGTGAGTGAGTGAGTGAATATCATCCTGTGGTTTACCTCACCTAGAGTCAAAGGCAGGAAGGACTTGAGTCTACGCTTTGTAGCTCAAATAATATATTTTGTTAAGTGGATTTCATTAACTAGAACTAACCTTAACAGCAAGAGAGACTTATCAGTTTATCTCTTCCAATAAAGATGTAAAACATTTCATTAAGAACTGAAGCATTTGAGAAATAAAAAAACAAAAAGAGCTCCAGATCTAGACAAGTATGTCACTGCTGGAGAGTGAGTGTATTATCTGCTGATGCACTCAGGAAAAGGGTTTGGTAATGTGCCTGGAAAGGAGGAGAATCATACGGACAGCAGAGAGGGACGGAGCAGTGGGAAAAGGCGATGTGTAATGCTGCTTCGGGAGCTAACCACACAAAAAAGCTAAGAGATGCCCTTCGGAAGTGGCTCTTAATATCTTTTTAAGTCACTAAAAGACACTTTTGATAGCTCAGAAATTAGCCATCCTGCCACGCCTGACTCCTTGTTTCTGGCTGGTGTCTTCCCCACCCCACAGCAGAAATCAGCAGCACTCGCTGGCTCTGTTTCACCATTTCACTCTGGCTCTGTTTCACCATTTCAC